TCCAAGGGGGTTGGATCTTGATTCACCAGGAGTTGGTGGGAGGAAGGAGGGGAATGGTTAATTTCTCCTTGTTTTAGATCCAAGGGGTTTGGATCTGTATTCACCAGGGAATTGGTGAAGGTCTCTCAAGGCTACCCAGGGGAGGAAATTAGCCTTGGGATGGTGGCAGCGGACCAGAGCTAAGCTGATAGTTAAGCTTAGAAGTTTTCATGCAGGCCCCTACATTTGTACCCTAAAGTTCAAAGTGGGGATACAGCCTTGACAGCTCCTTATATAGGTTTGAAGGGGTCTTTTCATATAGCTTGTTTTCCTGGCAGTCTAAAACATTATCCAAATCCACATCCCCCTCTTACCGTCCCTGTCAGAAACTCTGTCTCTTTTTCACCCTCCCAATCTCTTGGTGTTTCTGTCCCTTCTACCTTCAAATCTCTGGTAGCTCGACTCGACTCTTCTCCCTAAACCCCTGCTGAGTGGGCCTCTGGGGGTATGTCTACTCTGCAATTAGACAGCTGCAGCTGGCCCATGCCAGCTGAATTGGACTCACAGGGCTCAGGCTTCAGATGGTGTTTAATTGTGGTCTAGATATTTCAGCTCAGGCTTCAGCCTGAGCTCTGGGACCAGGGCCGGCTCCAGGCACCAGTGCAGCAAGCAGGTGCTTGGGGCGGCCAACAGAAAGGGGCGGCACGGCCGGCTCTTCGGCGGCGGGTCCCTCAGTCTCTCTGGGAGGAAAAGACCTGCCGCTGAAGTGCCGCTGATCGGGGCGGCAAAAACGCTGGAGCTGTCCCTGTCTGGGACCCTCCCATCTCATGGGTTCCTAGAGCCCAGGCAACAGCCGGAGCCTGGCTGTCTGCACTGCAGTTAAACAGCCCCTTAGCCTGAGCCCCACAAGTCCCAGTCAGCTAGCCCAGGCTAGTCATGAGTTTTCAATTGCAGTGTAGATGTATCCCCTCTTTGGTCCCTGCCTAATCCCTAGTACCTTCACCCTTCTCAGTTGCACCTGTGCTTTTAGAAAAGCAGTAACTAACATCTTAGTATCTGTTTTTCCCTTTGAAGTAGAAAATAAGAGATGAGCAAAAATCAACTAACATCCCTTAGAATGCCAGTGTAACCCACACCCCTCCTGGGTGGTGTTCTGTCCCATCTAGTGGCACTGAGACCACTTAGGTAAGGCTGTAGAGCAGACTCATTTTTTACCTCTAAGAGGCAATTGGCTTTTAGCTCATGCGGAAGAGGCTCATGCACTAAGCTGCAGAGGTCCCCGGTTCGATCCCACCCGCTGATGAGCGGGGTCTGTCGGCGTTACATCCGCACACAACCTCTCCCTTTTTACATGAAAACATGTCCCTTGAATTTTTGCTTTGTCACCTCTGTTGATTAGATTATAAGTCACTTCAGGGTAGGGACTAGATCTTCGTATGTTTTTGTACCGCACCTTGCACGTGCATGAGGCCCTTATGCCAAATGGAGTCTTTGGGAATTAGCATAATACAAATAATAATTAAGCAACAATCCCTTTAGTAAAGCCACATACTTAAATTAGAACTCTCTGAAACCTGATTGCTACAGGAGGGTTGCAGCTTTCTCAACTGTATTTCACAGAGCCCATGTGTCTTAAGGTCCAAGTTTCTACTTTCCTCCCAAGTATAAAAAGCCTGAGCCCCTTTATCCATTAAAGGGAGATCAAAACTACTAGGAAAACAGCTGAAGTATGCACCTATTTGACTGTCATTCTCCCCCCCACCCCATCAAGCATTGCAGAAGCAAACGCACAGCCCCATTACAAAGAACAAAATGATGGTATAAAATACCTTCCCTCTATAAGTAAATATATCATACAACAATTTTTCATTATCTAATTCTGTAACCACCCTGTTATTTGATAAGGAATTTCAATGGGAACTGGGTACTTAATTCCTTCAAACTCTTTTTCAGGAACGGGGGGACGAAACCTTTGGAAAAAGTACAGGGCCTTCACACATTCATTTTCTACAAACTACTCCTATCACAGATGCAAGCCTTCATCTCTCAGGATTACACCAACATTTATCTTAAACACGGGGTGGTGGTGCTAAAGGACTATAGACACACAGGAGGGGCATGACAAATAAGTGTGAGAACCATGGGGCTAGAGTTTTACTTCACTGCCCTTCTCCTACTGCCTATAAACAACTCCAATAGAAAAGCACATGGAGACCCAAAATAATTCAATCACGGTGGCTTTGCAGAGTCAACCTTCCCACAATCCAGCCCCAAAAGAACAAAAGGGATGAACTTAATTGCCAACTTTATAAACTTTTATAATAAAGCAACATAAA